CGTCCTCCTGTCTGAGGACAGAAGGGACCGCAGTGGACACTGGACGCTGTCTTCATGTCTGATGAGGACACACAACAAAGACAGAGGTGTCGTACTCTGACACAGACACAGTCACAGACAGAGTCACAGACAGAGTCACTGACTCACTGGTAGTTGTAGGTGAAGCTGTACTCCTCCACAGGACCGGCCGTCTCCTCATCTTCTTCCCAGAAACAGGTCAGGTTCATGCGGTCTTCAGCGAAACACTTGGGGTTCTCAGGATCTTCTCTCCTCATGATGGAAACTGGAGACAGACATGAATGTAGGTGTTAATACATGTCAGCAGAGGTTCTTGGTGGTCAACCCCCCCCCCTCCCCCCCACCCCCGTAACATGTGGTCAGGTTTTTGACCTGCTGCTTTATTTATTTCCACCACTTTGTGAATAAAAAAAGTCTGAGTGACCGTCAGTGACCGTCAGTGACCGTCAGTGCAGAGAAGACTCTAGAACCTCTTCAACCACAGGTGGAACCTTCTCAGGAGAACTCCGGTGAGAGAACCAGCAGAGTCCGATCTTTTAAAGAAGACTTTGTTGTTAAATAATAAGTATTTTCTTACATTTCTCTTCCCAGGTTTTCCCGCCCAGGACGGAGACGCAGACGCAGAGAAGCGCGTACAGCGCCGCGGCTCGGTTCCGGTGAGCAGCGTTCATGCTTCAGGTTCCTCCGTGGTTCTGTTCTGCTCCGACACCTGCATCACTGGAGAACACACTGTAACAACGAGCTCAGAAACTTGTTTTCTTCCTCTGATTCCTCGGATAGCGCCGCGCCGTTCGCCGCCTGCTGCCGAGCGATAAGGAGTGAGGAGTCGAGCTGTTTACGTTGTCCTCGAGGGAGAGAGAGAGAGAGATAGGGGGGGGGGGATGGGCTCTCATCAAACTTCTCACTCTGCTCTTCGAGTCACGCGCTGGACGATGTTTACGACGGCTTGTTGAACGTGAGTCACGTGATCCAAAGAGACGCAGCAGGAAACAAAGAACGGTTTCAAACGTCAGGGTTTGATTTTCAGTTTCTGTGAAAGAAGGAAAGAGAATTAGAAAAAGGAAGTCATAAAATTAGAAGGAATTATTATTTATTCAAAACACAAAAATTCACGTGTTTTCCGTGAATTTTATTTAAAAAATATTTTTCTAAACGTTCACTACTGTTGTCTTTCTCGTGTATATATATATAGAGACTGAATTTTTACATATATATATATATATACTGTGTATATATATATATATATATATTATACAACGTTCTCATTTCTCAACTACAACTTTCTGCAAAGATATCAACTTTATTCTGATAGCTGTAGTTTGGATCTCAGACCTAATTCCGACTGTTTTTCTCTCCGTGTCACAGATGTGGGTCATTGTTTTTGAACCTCACAAATTCTCTCTCAGCTTCAGAATGAGTTCCTCTGCAGATTCTGAAGAACATGTTTACTGTCCTATCCTCCTGAAGCCTTTGCAGCCCATAGGTCCTGCTGGCCCACGTGGGCTGCAGACCACTGAGGCCACATTGTCACATGGTCTGATGATGTTTCATCAGTGTTTGACGTCACTCACGCCTACAAACGGAACATGTTTCAATTTCTGTTCATACGTCGACCTTTGGCTGCCTCCGTGACCTCTGTGACCTCCGTGACCTCTGACCTAAAAACAAAGACTGTTCCATAGACAGGACTTGAAGGTCAGCTTGGCCCTGAGCCACTTTAATCTGTGGACGTTCAAACATCAGAGAGGCAGAGCTCAACTGTTCCTTATCTCCTCACTGCACCCACACGTTGTCCTCGCCCCCTCCCCCACTCACCCCCTCCCCCACTCTGTATTATCTGAGCTGCAGACAACCCTGTTTCATCACCAGCGATAAGTGTCATGAGGGGGCGCCGCCGCTGCCCCTCCCTGTCACTTCAATTTAAGTCAGTGTTGACGACTTCAGTAGAAACAGAGCAGAGATCGATCTGATGACATCATCACGGACGGTCAGGACGGTCGGTCAGGACGGTCGGTCAGGACGGGCGGGGAGGA